CAGTCTTTTTGCCTCGTGTTGTTGCTTACTACAAGTCAGGCTGGATAGTGGAAGAATCTCCTCTCCGTAGGTGTGGTTGGGCACTGGCAAAGGCTGCCTGGGGAGCAGTGGGATCACTGTCCTTAGGGGCATTCAGGCAGAAGGTGTGAACTGACCCTGAGGGACGTGGTTAGTGGGCAGCACTGGTGGTAGGCAGACGGTTGAACTAAGTCATCTTAGAGGTCTTTTCCAACCTCAGTGGTTCCACGATTCTGTTGTCTGATTCAGGAGTCACGGAGCATATTGCAAGAAATACCAGAATAAGGATAGCATTTCAGTTTCCTGCCTTTCTAAAACCTGGCACTTTGTTAACAAAGAGTAACAATTTCACTACCAAAGCATTTCAAACCCGTTTCTAAGCCAACACTCACTCTGGCAAATCTGCATTGAGAATGCCAAGAATTAAGCTCAGGAAATTCTTTGCTGCAGTTGTGTTTGTACAATAACCTGCTGGAGGTTCCCCTTGGGTGATGAAATCTGTGTTTAAATGACAGTCTGAGATCTGTTGTTGAAGAAGGCTGTTAATTAACACCTTTAGTTTGTGTGCAATTCAAGGCTAAGCTAAAAATGTTTCCTGAAGCCAGCAGGCACCAAGGCAGTGGTGTGTTACACAAGCAAGCATCGCCTTGTCAGCCAGCTTATCCTGCTGGTCTCAGTTTGTGTTCAGTTACAGGCAGGTCAGAAGTTAAAGTAAGCATTGCTTACAGCTCTGCTTTGTGTTACACATCACAGTAAGAGCAATGTAAAGAGGCAGGCAGTTCTCCAACATTCATTTTGTAGGAAAAATGGTCTGTGCCAAAATGATGGTTTGGGCTGAAAAAAGGTACATCACATGGAAATGGAGGCAAAATTTTGGCTCATCTGGAGGCAGCCATTTCCAAATGTGTTGCAATACTGACACTTTTAAGGGCTTTTAGGCAGAAGTGGAAAATCAAAGCCACGTAGTGGTCTGATGGGAGCTCTCACCCCTGGGCAAGGGAGGGGTTTCTGTAGCATGGTCTCTCTGACACCTGCTTTCCGAGCACAGCCCTTAGGGATCAGCCTGTTCACAGTGTTTCCTCGTAAGCTTCTGTGCAGACACACCAAAATGAGTCCTTTTGTGCTCTGACACATTTCTCATGTCTTCTCTCAATTGTCTCATTCAGCAAAGTTCTGGAAGAAAGGATTTGGACCAATCTTCTTCTATACTGGCAATGAAGGCGACATCTGGACTTTCGCTGCGAACTCGGACTTCATATTTGAATTAGCAGAGCAGCAGCAAGCTCTTGTGATTTTTGCTGAGCACGTGAGTATGGCAGTCGTTGTGCATGCTGAAGAATTGTGCTAACGTTACCAACTTCAGCTTTCTCTGTGTCCAGAAGAATAGCAGCATCTCTTGCCATGAAGCTGGGGCATAGTTGCCATGGGTTTTCTCATCATGGCAGCAGCTCTGTTTTTTTGTCCATCCTCTCTAGAGTCTAGAGAATACATCCTCGAGGTCTCTGTTTATCTCATATAAGACAGCTTCAGAGACAAGGCACTTGCTCAGTTACAAATGAATTAGTGGGTGCTGTGTGCTGTTTCCACTTCCTGACTGCACACTTATCCCAGCTGTGAGGGCAGGGAGACACCAGCATTTCTGCAGAATCTCTCTTTTCTTTCAGAGGTACTATGGGAAATCTCTTCCATTTGGACCTGAGTCAATGCAGATAAAGAACACTCATCTGCTCACTGTGGAACAAGCCCTCGCTGACTACGCAGTGCTAATTACTGAGCTTAAGCAGCAGTATGGAGCTGCAGGCTGCCCTGTCATTGCTTTCGGAGGCAGGTAAATGTTGTGTATAGTTGTACCCCTCTCTGCATCCTTTCCCAGCCACAGTTGTGTTATTCTTATAGGTCTGCTTGCCTTTAAAGCTTGCTGGAGGGCCAGAGCTCTAAGCTGTTCTGTAGAGAGCAGATGTGCTTGTGGCTGAGCTCCTTGGGGGCTCATCCCCAATGCGCAGTCAGCTGTCCCATAAAGAATTAGTCTTGACTTGTGATTGCCTTTGAGAATCTTTGCTTTGGATACTGAAAGGCATCCAGAGCCATCCAAATGCCATTTCTAGGCATCTTCAAGTGTCAGCCAGAACCCCAGAATGTGGGAAATTGTACCTGCAGGATCAGAACATTCTACGTAAAAAATGCAGAAAAATAATAATCGGTAAAATATTCTTTTGAGAGACCATCTGGCTATTTATTGAAAGAAGCCTCTTTAGCAGCATGCAGACTTTTTCATTGTAGGCTCCTTTCTAATCCTGCTCTGCACTGTGCTGCCTGGTTGCTTCTGCTTCCTAGCAGATGTCCTTCCCCAGAGTGCCTGCTGTTTCAAGTCAGAGCTGCGTTGGTGTCGCGCACGTCTCTTGCCATGTTTATACAGAGAGATGCTTCCCTTTAAAAGGTTTTCAAGAGAGGGGCTTCTCAGGCATTGCAGCGAGTTAAAAAGCATTCAGTCACGGTTACGCTTCAGCAGACCATGGTGGTATCTGTACCACGACCACCAGGACAGAGCTGGTGTGAAACACGTCAGGAACAGTCCTGGGCAGGGAGGGGTGTGAACAGGCAGTCCTGCAAGCTGTTACACGGCTGCTCTTGGTGTGTAAATTAGAGCTAAATATGCAGCAGCCCTGAACAGCACCAAACCTGTCTGCAGAATATAGGAAGTATAGCAGTATTGGAGCAGAACATTTCCATAGGGAAGAAAATCCCCCTTCAGTTGCTTGTAGCTTTGCTAGACTTTAATCAGTGGAACCGAAATTTCTTGTCAGGTTTGAGCTACAACCTGTTTCCAAGGGTCAGCTTAGAGAAGAATCCATTGCTTTTCATTTGAGTGGGACTTGAATACCTCTGAACTGTAAGTGAAGAGCTCAGAGTCAGACCAGTTGTTAGCTGGGTGTGAGGGCTGTAACACCCCCAGGAGTGACCTGAGTAACTCCTCAGCAGTTTGCATCTGAGTAACCTTTGTGCCCTTGGGATTATCAAGCAGTCCTCAATACATCTGCAGATCTGTGGCCTTGTGGCTGAAGCTCTCGAGGTGGCTCTGAGATTTCATGTGACCCTTGTTAACATCTCTCATTCTTTGCTGTGCTGCTGCTATGTGGGCTGCCCAGGATGACCACCACCCACCCCTTAGCACTGCAGAGTTGCCTATTCTGTACTGATCAGGAATGCCCTCTGCTTGTTAGCCCTTGCTTAGACAATCTTTATAATCCTGTGTGGGAAATGTGTCTTCTTCCCCCATTAAGCAATGACACTTGAGCCCCAGCTGGCTCTGTGCTGCAGCTGTCAGGTCTCAGAATGCAGTGGTGTTGGATATTGAGGCAGCATTTAGCTTTGTCTGAAGAAGCAAATTGGGCTCCTGTATTCCTGCAAGAATTGACTTGAGGGTCTAGGGGGCAGATGGTGAGAACACAGTGTGCTGCTCATCAGCCATACCTGGTTCTTTTTTTGTTCTCCGCATGAGGATGGGTTTCCCTAAACTTCTCGTTGGTCTGGGTGAGGTGAGCTTGTGACTACAGGCCTGAACATCCATCTTTATAACGTTAACTGTCTGTTAAAAGAAATAACACTCTTCTCTCTCTCCTGTGCCAGCTATGGAGGAATGCTGAGTGCTTACATGAGGATGAAATACCCAAATGTTGTGGATGGGGCATTAGCTGCCAGTGCTCCTGTGGTGTCTGTGGCTGGGCTTGGAGATCCCACTCAGTTCTTCAGAGATGTAACAGCAGTAAGTGGTAGCTCTCTTCAGGAACGTTATCCTTCTTCCTGTAAGAAGTCAGGGTTTTTCTTTCAGTGCCTTTAACCAGACATGTACTTTCACATTAACCACGGACTGCTGGGCAGACCTGCAAGGAAGACCTGCAAGGAAGAGCAGTGGCTGGAGCTGTGATGGCTGCTGGTTGCTGTGTTTGTGGCAGCTCAGGGCCCCAAGGCACTGCTCTTATGAGCAGCATAAATTGGTTCCAGCACCTTTAGTGCCAATAACAGTTCCCTTTCCCATTTCTAGTCACTTAGCCAAATTACAAGCCTGAAAGTTTCCCTTTGTGCCTGGCTGAAACCTTCGGATCATACATTCTTCAAACCCTCTTCCAAAAATATATTTTGCATTGGTATGGATTATTTACAGCAGGTCCTTAGTTCCTGTATAACCAAGATGTTATAATTTTGTATAACCAAGATGTTACAATCGCAATACAATCAATGAGAGTAAGGCAAAGCAGACAACGATCACAAAAGAGAATAAGTGGAAGAGCTTACCCTTGGGTTGAGCTCACCAGAAGATACCAAAAGAGGGGATCTCCAGAAGAGATCCTTCCTCTCTGGTAGCCAGCTCTTAAATAGGTCCAGGAGGGGTGGAGCCTGGCTCCACCCCTTCCGGCAGCACAGGTGAATTGCCTTCACCTGTGCTCCTCTGGCTGACTCAAGGCTCACCTCAGGTGATTAATCAGAGGTTCAGGCCGTGACTCAGCAGTTCCCATACAGTTCCAGAATTACATTTTTCAATGAAGAGTTTGAAAATCTTCATTTCACTAAAAAAAAATCTGCAAAGTGTCCTAGATTCACTTAAAACCAAAACTTAAATGTCTTTCCACATTCTGAGGAGATCAGGATACCCGGGAAGGTGGTATTGCTGGTAACTGACTTGCATTTAGTTCACATGGGTAGAAATTTACCAGCTGGTACGATTAAAAGCTTGTGGGAGTGCCTCTTTTGCCTCTTTCTGACATGAATTTCTAGATGCGGGTGACACACGTGGCTTTGTGTGAACTACCTGTTATGAAATGGGGTCCTTGTGACCTTGTGGCATACATTAAACCTTATTTTAATGCAGGCATTTACAGCACAGACAGCACTACTGGTGAGTGTAAAGAAAGAAGAGTTGTTGAAATAAACAAACTCAAGCACTTGAAACTTTTAAGTATTTAAAGAACAAAATACATCTTGCCTTAAAATTGCACGTTTTAAAACAAATTGTACAGTACTGCTCCATTATGTAACGGGCTTAGCAGTGGGAATTCTTCCCTGGAGGAAGGTAATTACTTCTAAGAAGCCCTGTTCAGCTGACAGCTCTTGCTTCAGTTATGAATGTGCTGTGAGTCATTACACCCCTGAAGTTGGGGCTTTGACCTTTTCGTGCGGAGGAAAAAAATGTTTCTCATTCATTTTAAGATATATTCTCTGCAATGGTAATTCAGCCCCTGGGCTGGGATCCTAAACAAGCTCTTCGTGCTGTTCTCAAAGTAATTCCTTCCACCTTCCACATGTTTAAATTGCAGCAATCTGTACATCTGAAGGCTGAATTGTGCTCTTCTCGGTGAAAGAAGCAAACGAGTGCCCCAGAGATGTTGATGCTAATTGAGGCACAGAGCTTTCATGAATCATTGCAGGAGCTCTCTTCTGCTCTCTGCTTATGAGTGAGTGCCTTGTCTGAAAAGAACTTTCTCTGTGACTTCTATTGAGTCTCTCCAGTACATTTCATGATACTGCAGCTCACTGGGGAGGGGGAGCGAGCGAGGGCCATATGTGTTATTTTTTTATGGCATTTATGAGACCAGGTTCTATGTGCCCACTGTCCTCCCTACAGCCAGAGCAAAGGCTGCTGTGTAAGGATGCTGTGCAGCAGCGTGCTGCAAAAGGGATGCCCATGTAAACTGCAGAGTGATTTCTGCAAGACTTTCAGACAGAGAGGAATCAAAGAGAGGTGCCACAACTTCATTTGAGGTGGTGTCATTTTGAGAAAAGTTCCTGGGTTACCTTCCATTGCTCTGGAGGCTGAGGGCACTGTGAAGGAGCCCTGCTAGTTCCTGTTGTTACTATAAAGCATGCATTGCTGGCAGATGGCAAACCGCCTTACAAACTGCTAGAAGAGAAAGAGTTTGGGTTGCTGGAGCCTTCAGCACAGGAATGGCTTGTGGCAGCAGCTGCAGCCCTTCAGACATGCCTTGAAGTGCTGTGTCAAGGGGTTTAGCAATGTTTTTCCCAGGAAAAAATGACAGCTTCCTCGGCCGTCTGGCTGGTTGTGGTTCTCAGCCCCTTGTGGCTCCTGCTTGTAGACACAGGGCAGTGTGAGGACAGTTGTGCTTTAAAGCAGCAGCTCTGGGGCTGAGCAGCCAGCAGCAGTTGGTGTGATCTGATGGCTTCACGTTCAGTCTGACGGCTCCTGGGCACGCAGGGTTCTGTCTGACAGCAGATACCCGGTGCAGCAGCCGCTGCTCGCTGTGAGCTGTGCAGGTGTAGCTCATGCTGGGATGAGCTGACTGCCCTGAGCTGGGGGCAGGAGCGCTGGTGTCACTGCCTCTGGAGGTGCAGGCTATGCTGTCCTCTCCAGGCTGGTAAGCTGCCACCTCCCAGTACTGCTGCATGTCCTCTGTGCAGCTGTAACACCACGGCTTTTCTGCCCTTCAGGATTTTCAGAAGTCCATCCCAGGCTGCGTCACTGCTGTCCGCAGAGCCTTCCAGCAGATCAGAGATCTGTTCCTGAGCGGAGGTAAGGACAAACAGCCGCGCAGCAGGCAGGCCAGGGCTGGGGAATGAAGTTGGTTCCATTTCACTTCTGTTAGGTCTTAAACTGGTTTGGCTGAATTGGTGCAGATGCCCGCTTGACCTTTCTGCTCGTATAATTGATATTTTTATTTGATGAATGGTTTTGGTTAGTGTCATGATCAGTAAGTAACACTATGGACTCTCGTTAATGAAACTAGTTTTTCTGCAGTAAAAAATAAAAAATAAAAAAATCCACAACATCTGTATTTTTTAATTTTTTGTATTTTCACCTTTCAGCCAGTGCTTGTCCTCAACAGCCATGCTGTTGTGACTTGTTCTGGTGAGTGTGACCACAGCATGGTCCATGTCACTGGGCATACCTGAAAGGCAGTGTATGCCATGTAGCAGCCATCAGTCTCTTTCATTTCCAGCACTGGACAGTTAGGTGATATCAAGAACAGAGACTGCAATTTCGTCCTTTTAGACCAGACAGGTATTATGGTTCAGTGCAGCTTTTTCTGGGAGCCCTGCATCGCCTTGGAGCCCCTGTGATGAGTTCATGGTCTGTTTGCTGGGCAACCTCGAGCTGCCCTTGGTCCCAAACCATTTGTAGATGTGCATGACAGGAAGTACATTACTCTTCAGTGGCTGAGGTACTTGAGATCTGTCTGGCACTGTGCTTTCTGTAGCATGATGGTTGTACTTAAGGTTGTGTCACTCAAGTGAGTATCCAAACATAGGTCCAGTCGGGCTCCAGTGGGACAGCTCACTGAATAGAATGAGGACAGACAGGAGCTGACAGTATGGAAGATGGAAGGAGCACCTTCTCCCAGCAGAAATGCAAAACTATTCAAGTACATCTGGAACTAATTTCTTAAAAGGTAGATTTCCTGACTCCAGCTGAGCTTTCTGTATCACGTCAGGGTTTGAAGGCCCATCTCAGGAGCCCTTGGCAGCTCTGTGAGGATTATTGTTGCCTGGCTTCTTTTTCCTGCTGAGATATCTGTGCTGTACTCTGTTCTACTGCCTGAGCCCAGCTCCACAGCGAGCAATGGTGGGAGCCAGCAGTGCCAAAGGGAGCAAGAAGGAGCTTGCCAAGCAGGGTGCTGGGCAGGAAAGCCTTGTAGCGAGCAGTTTGGACTGCATCCATCTGGAATGTTCTGGATAGGAGCTGCTGCTGCCACTGTGTTCCCCAGGGAGGTTACTGTGAGATGAGAGCTGTGGATCAGCACAGGGTCAGGAAGCCACAGCGGAAGACTGTGCCTGAACATCTGTGTTTGTAAACTTAGGTGTAACGTATCCTCCCCGCTGGAAACCTCACCTATGTGTCTCAATATCACATTACTCCAAGTGAAACAAGATGCTGAAGCCTGATTACAATTTACTCTGTTGAAGTTTGTGCCTTTCATTTTCCTTCCTTCTGCAGCTTATGATGAAATCAGCAGCAAAATGGCCACATGCAACAAGATTTCTAGCAAGGAGGATGTTTACCAGCTTTTTGGCTTTGCTAGAAATGCCTTCACCATGATTGCCATGATGGACTATCCTTACAAGACCGATTTCATGGGGCACCTCCCTGCTAATCCAGTGAAGGTGAGTAGCAGGACGCAGGTGAGAATTGCTGTGAGTGCAGGCTGGGTTGTGCACCTCAGGGACCAGAGCTGGGGGCTGCACGATGTGGGGCAGCACCAGGTGTGCAGCACCAGCGATGGTGATGTGAGGAAGCAGTGGTGAATGTCACAGCCCTTCCACTCCGACAGTAAATCTGCATATTTTAATTGTCTCTGAAATAGCGACTGCTGTTTGTAATGCAGTGCTGGAAGGCTTGCTGAGCCATACCTGTGCTCTGCGTTTGCTTTGAACGCCTGTGCAGCCACACTGGCTTCAGTTTTTTGAAGGCAGAAAACCTGCAGCTTTTCAAAAAACTGTTTTGTTGTAGCCCACGTTGACACATTTCTATTAGGCACGTTTTTCTTGGCAGAGGCCTGAAAATAAGGCTTCCTTTTCTAGAATCACCAGGGAAGATGGCGTACGTCAGAGTGCAGTGTAGAGAAATGCCTGCCTCTGTGAGGGCCAAGTGTGGGGAAAGGTGCCTGGGAGGCTTACAAACACCAGTTTCTTTTGAAAAAGGACCCTGATCACCAGGCGCCGTCGCAACTCTTGGCTTCTGCTTTGCTGTCAGTCTGGTGCTGCTGATGGGTCTTGATGTGCCTCTGGCCTTGTGCCGAAGAGATCAGCTGGGATGTAGGTTCAAATCTTACCTGGAGCAAAATGCGTGCATGGAATCATACAGGCTGTGTTGTGCAGGGGCACAGAAGATGCTGGCCTGGCCATGCAGTTCCTTTCTGGGGTCTGTTTAAAAGTGGTAGAATGGAAGTAACTGTTCTAAGTTTGCTTGAGAAGGGACTTAAAATACTCTGATTGGAGGAGGAAGGATCTGTTGGTTATCACTGGCCTCTGCACAGCTGCTTTCTCCCTGTGCCTATGTATTTTTTTTACTGGAGGGAGAGAGAAAATAAAAAAATAAATGTTGCTTTTGGCCACTGGAAAGCTGCTGAACCATCAGCTGTGTAAGCAATGCTTTTAACTTCCAGCTTAGCCCCTCTGCAGGGTAGACTGTTGTGTGTCCTGTCTGCAATTTGCTTGTACCATGTCTCATGCAGGTTGGCTGTGAACAAATCCTTGCCCACACAGACCCAATTCAAGGCCTAGCAGCTCTTGTTGGTGAGTTACTCTTATCAGATGGATTTTTTTTATGTAAAATGTTGTTCTCCAGAAGCACCTGTATGTAGAGTCGTCTTGTTGTGTGGATTGTGTATTGTGGGAGCTGGTACAGCTCCAGTTTTCCCCTGGGATGTTTTGTACTGCATGAGTTTTGGCCATGGCAGCCCCTTACACTGCTGACAGTCCACGAGATGACTTCCCAGGCACTCCGTTCTGATGGGTTTACCCATGCTCTGGTTGGAGCAGTTACTGGTCGAGTCACAATCACTGAAGGAGGTTCTCTGCTCTGCTGGTTGAGGACAAGGCTGTTGTCACAGGGCCCTGCAGTTGCAGTTCTAACTGAGTGGCAAGACAGTCTTAATTACCTACACGAGTATTTAATTTGTCAGTCAGCAGTGTTAGTAAGGAAAATATTAGAGGCTGATTCCAAAGTTCTTTCAGGAGTATCAATTCAAAATCACAGCTAAAGCTATTTGGCTGGGGAGCTAGACAGGTAGGTAAGATACTCAGGTCTTGGCAAATGCTGTCCCATCTGACTGAGCTTTCCACATCCTACTTCTCCTGTTTCTTAGCAGCTGACAAGCTGAGGCTTGGTTTCTCCCTTCCGCTGGTGAGGCAGCGCTCTGTGCCTCTCCCCAGCTCACCAGCTGCGTTCGCTTGGGGCAGCTTAATCATGCAGGAGGCGTGATCAACCAGAGCTCGAGGCAGGGAGCTGGCTTTCTTCCATACCTGCCCTTTGGTGTCGTACAGGAAGATGCTGTTGTCTTTTTGCATGTGCTGCAGCAATCCACCCCCCGTGAGGTAAAGCATCGACCCGTGGGCTGTGATGCTGAACTGGCAGCGGCTGAACGGAGACAGCGTGAGCGTTGTCCACTGATTGCTTACAGGGCAGTAACACTCCGTCTCACTGACGTGAATCCATTGCTCCACCTGCAAAGAACCAGAACAAAGAGACCATCTGACTGTGCTTCAAGTGGTGTCACTGTCGTGTCAGGCTTATTTGCTTTGTGGTGAGGGAAGCCCAGTGTCTCCACACGCACTGAATGTGGTGGAGCTCAAGGTGCTGCATTTTACAGTCCAAATGTTGCAATCAGAGCATCAAAATAAATGGAATAAAATACCAAAGTTCCACTGAAGAATGCCCTAACAGAGCTTTGTTATTCTTGGAGAATGAATAGAATGAGCCATGGGGACCTACTGGGAGTGATTTAACTGAAGTCCTGCCTGCACTGCATAGACTTAACACATTACTGAGGACTCATCTGAAGACAGCTACAGTAAATTGAGCTGTGGGAGGCGACTGAGCTTGTGTGGTTGGAAGAATCGGATGTCAGATGTAGTGAGCCATTTGACTTTATGGATCTCTGTCAATTCTCAGTGAAGAAGTGCTTTAAGATACCTTTGTGCCTTTGAAACAAGCAGCATTAATGTTGGGCTGAGCCACAAGCCTTCATGTTTTCCAACAGGCGTTGCTGAATGGCCTGTCAGAATTCACTTGTCCTGACTGCAGGGAAGGAGCATCTCCCTGATGGAGTGTGGGTCACCTCCCCAGCAGGCTGCACTGCTTTCACGGATGGGCAATCAGTCTGAAGGGGCTTCACTGGCATCCCAGGATTTAAACCCATCCCTCCTAAAATCTACTTGTGGTGTCCAGTGGTGGACTGGTGTCTTCACTGCAGTCCATTTCTCTCCTATTTGCCAACCCGGCACAACCAGAGCAGGCCAGGTAGCGTTTCTGGGACAGGTGCACAGCCAGTTACGTGGCATTCTCCTGCAGCAGCAGGCTGCATCTGCACCCTGTGCTTTGCTTTGTGCTCTTGCACGTGGGGTGTGACAGCAGGGCAGCTCTTAATGTGCACAGCTGTAATGGCAAGCATGTTTTCTTAATATAGTGTGACTGATGTGCTGCTGTGCCAGTCCACCATCGTTATTGTCCATCCCTCTGGTGTAGTGCACCAGGGCCCAGCCGTACACAGACTCCATTTTGGATCAGTTTTGGTATTACAAGAGCAAAGGGACTTACTCCTTTCAGTGTCCTTCCTCCAATGCAAAAGATGCCATCTTTGGTGGCAGCCATCCCGTGATCACAGCGGGGGAAGGTCATGGCACAGTTGTGCCTCCAGCGCCGGAGGCGAGGGAAGAAGCTGAAGGTGTCTGCTAAGGTTCTGCCTGCTGAGAAACCACCTGGGGGAAAAGCACAGGGCTGGAACTCTGTCTGTCAGTCTCAGGAATCCACCAAACCCTCTGCAATACCAGCAGAGCTGATGTCATGTGATATTTAAAAAAACAAAACAAAACAAAACCCTGAGCTTCCTGGATGTTTTAAAGGAAGGAACCTGTTCCAGATCTGTCTGAAGACTGTTTTTCTGTTGGGGTATTCAGGGTGTAACCAGGAACCATGAGCCCCTCTCTTTAGGGACTCTGCCACAGGATGCTTTTTTTTTTTTTTTTTTTTTTTTTTTTTTTTTTTTTTTTGAAAGGAAACCACCTGAAATTCTCTGAGCTGTGGACCTTTGTCAGAAGGTCAGAGCCACTCTGCCATTACTGTTGTCATCTCTGTCTCTGCTAGGTTCTCCCTTTGTATTTTGGGGTTGTGTTACAAAAAGCTCCTTGCAGAACGAAGGTGCTGCTGCTGGAAGGGTAAATACCTTTAATTTTCTGCTTGTTGAATTCCAACCTGCAAAGAGTCCTTGCAACCAGCAGAGATGATGCTCCAGTTTGGGCACATGCCCATCTCCCTGAGCTCTGTGCATTCTCTGCACGAGTTGTGGTTGAAGCCCAGTGGGCAGCTGAGCCCCACACAGATGCATGCTCACTCCCTACCAGTGGGAGGGGGAAGAGAAGTGTGTGGGGATAAAGATAAAACTCATGGATTGAGATGAAGACGGCTTGCTGCGTAAAGCAGAGGCTGTGCATGCAGACATGGCAATAGGAAGAATTTGTTTGCTGCTTCCCATCAGCAGGGAGATGTTCCAGGAAAGCAGGGGATGTCATGTTTTCCTGAAAGGAAATGCTGTCGCTCCCCGTCACCGCCCTTCCTTCTTCTTTCCCCCCAGTCCTATTGCTGAGCACAGTGCTGTATGGTTTGGGATGCCCCTTTGGCCGCTCTGGATCTGCAGTCCTGTCCCCCCTGAGCTCCTCGTGCAGCCCCAGCCCCTCACCGGCAGGGGGATGCATCCCTGGCTCTGGGGGAGCCCTGCTCAGCAGCTCAGTGGGTTAGTGTCACATCTCCCATGTCGATTAACAGCTGAGTTTAATCCCATCTGCAGCACTACTGCTGCCTGCCCCTGCTCTGCCTTCCTGCCAGCGAGGCTTTGGGATTTTGGCAGGACTGCAAGGTCAGAGCTAAGCAGGAGTGTGAATTGCAAGCAGGAGTGTGAATTGCAAGCAGGAGTGTGAATTGCAAGCAGGAGTGTGAATTGCAAGCAGGAGGTGTTGCATTTAATGTTGTGGGAAGAAAACAGGTCAGGCCATTCAGGTTGGCAGTGGGTTTGTATTTAATGGAGCTGGAAAAGGATGTGAGCTGTGCGTGTTACCGGGGTGGGTGCAGGCTCGGGCTCTGGCAATAAGCTGGGTTGGGATAGATTTCTCACCTGAAATGTAGAGGATTCCCTTGTGGGTTGCGCCTGCGTGGTCAGCAATAGGGATGGGGAGGGGAGCTGCAAACTCCCACTTGTTGGCAGCTGGCTGGTATGACTCCACGGTGGGGGTGAGGGTCCCCAGCAGTGTCCCACCCCCCACCACAAAGATGTGGTCAGACAGCACGTCTGCGTGGAAGCGCGTTCGCCGCTGCAGCATGCTGGCGAGCCGGAGCCAGGAAGCATTGCGTGGGTTGAAGCGGAACACCTGGAATCACAGCACATGGGAGGCCGTGAGCTGAAGGCAGGCACCCGGCTTCAGGAACTGATTGATGCAAGTTTTCTCGAGGCTGAAGGAGAGCTGAACAGCAGTGCCTCTGTTGGAGCTGACGCCCTGCAGCCCCGTGTGCCCTGAGCAAGCTCACATAAGGCTCTGCTGCTGGGAATGGGCTGCGCTTCCTACCTGCAGCAAGCAGGAGCTGGAACGCGTTGGTTTGATGGAAAAATGTTAAGCTATTAATGCCAGCCAGCACACATCTACTGAAAGCTGTTTTTTACACCTCTGCTTCTGTTTGAATGTGCAGTGAGGAGGGCAGCTGAGCATGGGCTGTGGCCCTGCTGCATCCCTGAATGTGTGCCTCTGCTGCTGAGCCACCTCCTCACTTTGCCTCAGGGAAGGAAATGCCACTTGCAGCTGCAGAGTGCAGGAGGCTTCAGTTTGTGCCCCCAATGGCAGTGCCTGCCGCAGCAGCGATGGGTTGGGGGTAACATTTGTGTGGCTGCTTGATGGACTGCAGAAGTGGCTGAGCTCATGACGGCTCTGTTTGGGTTAGGGGGACAGCTTACAGTGGGAGCAGATGAGATGGGGTAGGAATTGACCGCTTACCAGAGTTTGGAACCTGCATTCCCAAGGGCTGCTAATACTGCACACGGCTCTAGAAGGCAGTGTGAGCAGCAGTGTGCCCTGCAGCCCAAAGGGCCAGCTGTGCCGTTGGGTGCACCTGGCTGAGCACTGCCACCGGGAGAGGGGGGAGGCTGCCCCACTGTGCTCTGGAGACAGTGATAGGGGCAGGGAAACAGCATGGAGCTGTCAGGGGAGGCTCAGGTGGGGCTGAGGAATTGCTGTGCCCCATAGGGCTGGATACTGCACAGCTCCCAGGGCAGCGGGCACGGCCCCGAGCTGCCGGAGCTTAGAGAGCGCAGGGACACCGCTTTGAGCCATAGGGCTGGGGGTTGGGTGGTGCTGCGTGGGGCTGGGTTGGGCTCAGTGATCCCTGAGAGTCTGTTCCAATTCAGGATGTTCTGTGGTTGTAGCATTTTAACATGGAAAGGTGGGAAACCTACAGTGAGCAGCAGAAGGATCCCCTTCCTCCCCTGCCCCCTTCCGAGGCTGAAGGTTTCCTCGCTTACCTCGTTTGATGGCTGCTTTCCTGTGGGATCGAATGTGCTCTGCCCCCCCAAGACAAAGAGGAAGTCATCGATGGCAACTATGCAGTGGTTGTACAAGGGCACGCAGAGGTCCCCTACTTTGCGCCAGGCGCCGCAGCTCTGCTCTGCAGCCCACATCTCCCTGCAGATGCTGTTGGTGCTGGTTCTGCCGCCAGCGATGAGCAGTGCAGGGGAAGCGGAGCGGAGGGCGGTGTGCGGGCTCTGCTGGGACGGCCGGGTGCAGAGCTGGAGGTGGGGGGTCAGGGCATCCTGGAGGAGCCGGCAGCAGCCCCAGTCCAGCCTCGTCAAAGGGATTTCCTGGATGTAGCGCTGCAGATCGCGGAAAGGAATGAGAGGGAATCTGACATGCTTTAAAATGTCCCCCATGTATTGCAGCCGCCTGCGGTCGTGCTGCAGCCAGCTCACAGCAGCTCTGAGCAGCTCCAGCTCACTGCTCCCCTCTGTGGTGGTCCTGTCTAAGATTTCACAGAGGGTTCCTCTGTCAAGATCCTTCAGGCTCTGGGGATTGGCCAGGAGCTCTTTGAAATGCTGCCCTACGCAGCACATGGCCTTCTCTCTCAGCTGTGCGGGGCCAAGTTTTTTGGCAATGCGTAGAATGTCCATGCAGTTCTCACCGCTCAAGCAGCTTTCCAGAAATCGGAAACACAGGTTGATCACCTCTCCAACCAGCAGGGCTTCTGCAGCCTTGAATGTCTCCTCCACGTTCTGTAAGGAGAGATCTAATTTGTTGGAGTAAATGAAGCTGAGGACGTTGCTCAGCCCCGCGGCACTGACAGCATTGAGACGAATGCTTCCATCCACATTCCCCGTCCTTGTCGCGTTCCCAACAAATAGAATCTTGCAATAATTACTTGCTGATGCTAAAATGATCTTGTGTGCTGGAAAGCAAACCCCTTCTGCCTCCAATGTTACATCGCACAGTGCTTTCTGGGCGCGAAGCCTGCTGATGCCTTGCAGAAGTTTCTCCAGGTAGGTGTCAGACCCAAGGCTCCCCATGCTGCTCTGCAAGCCAGCAGCATTGCTCTAAAAGCACGCATGCCAGAAGCAGCCCCAGGTCTGCAGGTTCATGCTCCAGGACAGCCGAGGCGGTGCTGCCTGCACGCAGACCTCCCTGCAGTGCTGGGTCCCGCACGGCGCTTGTGGGTCCTTTGGCTCTGGCAGCAGTCGGCAGCCACTGGTGTAACTGCATTCCTGCCCTGCTGTCTGGTAACGGCCCCTCTGCACAAAAGCAGCCTGTTCCTCCAGCGCTCCCCAGCAGTGCTTTGCTGGGCAGGTGCTCTTTCATCGGGGCAAGCCTGCACATGCCGACCTTCCCTTTTTAAACAACAGTGAAACAAAATCCTGTCTAGGATGCACTCCCCCACATCGGCCCTCGTGTTCAATTCAATGCATTCACACAACGGCAGTTTTTAGGGAGTGGGGTGGCCGCAGCAGTTGCACCCATCGCGGTTGGGTCTCAGGACGATTCCCACGCACGGTGCTGGAGAGTTGGGTTGGAGGTGCAGGGGCTGAAGAATGGGTCACAGCTTCTGGGGTAGCAGAGCTCATTGCAGAGTGGGCTGTAATACACATGCAGCGGTGAGGTGGAAAGCTGTGACCGTAACCTACCGCTGGTGCTTTGCTCTGCGCCTGCCGCAGCCCCGGCCACCCCCCGGCTGGTGCTGGTCTGCAGGAAGCCTGCGGATGCAGCGGCAGAGGGCACCACACTGAGGGGTCTGTCTGTGCTCTTCCCACTTGGCAGGGGTGTTCTACAACTCCTCCGGCTCGGCGCGGTGCTATGATGTGTACCAGCTGTTCCGGTCCTGCGCCGACCCCACGGGCTGCGGCACTGGTGCAGATGCTGAGGCGTGGGACTACCAGGTGAGGCACTGGGGATGCCAGCAGGGATGCTGCGCCGCCAACTCCTCCTCCATGCCAGCTCGTGTTCTGTTTCAGGTGTGTACCGAGATCAACTTAACTTTCAACAGCAACAACGTGACAGACATGTTCCCTGAGATGCCCTTCACAGAGGCCATGAGAGAGCAGTACTGTTGGAGCCGATGGCGAGTGAGGCCGCGAGCGCAGTGGCTGCAAATCAACTTCTGGGGAGGAGGTGCGTCTGCTGCTGAGGTGCCGCCTGCTCAGCCCTTGGTGCTGCTGTGCAGCTCTCCCTGTGTTCCACCTGGCTGAGCTCTATGGGGACAGACACAGCTTGAGATGGAAACAGGAAGTTCTCGTCTGTGTTTGCTGCAGTTGCTGGGTAGGATGAGGCTCTCACGTGTCACCTTTGAATTTCAGACCTGAAAAGTGCAAGCAATATCATCTTTTCAAATGGAGACTTGGACCCGTGGGCTGGAGGTGGGGTAAGCGCATGCACTGCTGCTGCCAAGCAGAGAGAGCTGCCTTTTGGGCAGGCGCTGCCCACGGCCCGTTCAGAGCAGCCCTGCTGGTCAGTGTGAGCCCTTGTGAGTTTCTGCATGCGGCTGTTTTATGCCGCAGTCTCTGGGGACATTAATAACAGGCACTTGGAGCAGTGAGATGCCACAGCCAGGAATGTTGCTGTGGCAGTGGTAGCTTCAGGAGCAGTAGGCTCAATGGGAGCCCCAGAATCTGGTTGGCCTGCCCCAACCCTGGGGGTGCTCAGGGCTGGGTCAGATGCGGCCCTGGGCAACCTGCTGGATGGGAGGTGCCCCGACTGTGGCACGGCTTAAAACTGAATGGACTTTAAGGTCTCTTCCAACCCAAACCACTCTGTGACCCTATAATTCCGAGAACCTGTTGCAATTCTGTTTTGAGACAGTCTCGGTCAGTTCAGTGCTCTGTGATTTCTCCCCTCTCCACATACATTGTGAGATCAGGCTGTTGCTGTAACCAGCAGACAAAGCAAGAAGCATTTCAGTTTAGATTCAACAAAACTTCTGAGCTCTGGTTAAAAAGGACCCAAAGCAGGATGCAGAGTTAGTTGAGCTCTTAATTATAATGCAGGCATCCATTGCTGCAGGCTGCCTTAGCAGTGCCAGCAGCAAAAGGAGCAGGTTGCTTAGGGCAGGTCACCATGAGGAGCCAGCATTTTCAGCCTACCTGTGCTCAGTTAGGTTGACAGTTCCCATCTTGGCCCACACATCCTGTGAGCACGGTACTGGCTGCACCATGGATCTCTTTACATGGTTTTCCCCAGTCCTTCCCAGCTCTTCATCCAGTTTCCAGAACTGAGGTCTGGTTTTGCCTGGTCACCTGGTGAGAGTTTCTCTCTGCTGCTCTCATTCCAGATAAACAGCAGCCTGAGTCCTTCGCTGACTGCTGTGACCATTCAGGGAGGTGCTCATCACTTGGATCTGCGGTGAGTATTTGTGCACTGACAGCTTCTGGCACTGATCTTTGGCAAATTCCTGCTGCCCTGGGCCAAGGACCAAGGAGATAACATTATCTAAGCAGAACAGGATACCATGATGCTACAGCATCATTCAAGAAGAATCCTTTTTTAAACCTAATACGAACGTTCTTAGAGTCTCAAAGAATAATAGAATGCCCCGGATTGAAAAGAACCTCAAAGGTCATCCAGCTCCAACCCCTGCTGTGTGCAGGTCACCAACCAGCAGCCCAGGCTGCCCAGAGCCACATCCAGCCTGGCCTTGAATGCCT